GAGAGAGAGAGAGAGAGAGAGAGAGAGAGAGAGAGAGAGAGAGAGAGAGAGAGAGAACTGAACTACATGCCTCGTTCCCCGGTCCCCTCTATTTATCTACTTCAACCAGTTTCATATCCGATCCTCCGCCCCGCACGATCAAGCGTAGTGTCTGCTCCGTTCGGTTTCATATATGATCCGTGGTCTATCGATACCTTTTTTATTTTAAAAAAAGAAAAGAAAAAAAAAGCACACGAGCACGCGAGAGAGAGAGAGAGTGAGAGAGAGAGAGAGAGAGAGAGAGAGAGAGAGAGAGAGAGAGAGAGAGAGAAAACCCAACTACGCACCTGCCCCCCCCCAACAGAAACACGATCAAGTGTAGCATCTTCTTCGATCAGTTTCATATCCGATCCTCTCCCCCCGCACGATCAAGCATAGTATTTGCTCCATTGGGTTTCATATCTGATCCGTGGTCTATCGAGACGGTGTTTTATTTTGAAAAAAGAACAAAAAAGCACGCGAGCACGCGCGCGCAAAGTGGAGAGAGAGAGAGAGAGAGAGAGAGAGAGAGAGAGAGAGAGAGAGAGAGAGAGAGAGAGAGAGAGAGAGAGAGAGAGAGAGAGAATCCAAATACGGGCCTCCCCCCGTACAACAGAAACATGATTAAGTGTAGTATCTGCTTTGATCAGTTTCATATCCGATCCTCTCTCCCCGCATGATCAAGTGTAGTATCTGCTTTGTTTGGCTTCATATTTGATCCGTGGTCTATCGAGATCGTAGCACGCGCGCGCAAGACGCACACACAGAGAGAGAGAGAGAGAGAGAGAGAGAGGGAAGCCAACTACGCGCCTCTACCCCTCCAACAGAATCACGATCAAGTGTAGTATCTGCTTCGATCAGTTTCATATCTGATCCTCTCCGCCCGCACGATCAAGCGTAGCATCTGCTCCGTTCAGTTTCATATCTGATCCGTGTTCTATCGAGACCTTTTTTATTTAAAAACAAGTGGACCCGCCGCAGCCACGCTACGGCAGAGGAGAGGGACGAAGAGGGGGGCGGGGCTGTTGTTACACCGCTGTTTTTTTTTAATCAATTTTTTTTTGTTGTTGTCATATTCGCTATACACTAAAAAAAAACATGACAGTGGCAGACTGTTTTCGAGTGATCAGGAGGTTGTGTGTGTGTGTGTGAGAGAGAGTCTCTCTCTCTCTCATCCCATCGATGGACATAGGCTCTCTCTGTCTGTCTGCGTGCATGGCTGGAAAACACTCTCTCTCTCTCTCTTTTTCTCTCTCTCTCTTATTCTATCGATGGAAGTAGCCCTCTCTCTGTGTGTCTGCGTGCATGGCTGGAAAACTCACTCTCTCTCTCTCTCTCTCTCTCTCTCTCTTCGTGTGTGTGTGTGACACACACGCACACGCGCGCAGGCAGGGCCACTTCAACAGTTTCATGTGCGCATGAACTGAGCAGCCTTCGAATGTGCAAAATGAGAAGGAGAGTATGGAGCAAGGGGCTGTGAGATGCAACCCCATCCCCAATCCCCTCCCCCTCCTTCTCCCCCTCCTTCTCCCCCTCCTTCTCCCACTGCTCCTCCCGCTCCTCCTCCCGCTCTTCCTCCTCCTCCCGCTCCTCTACCAAACAACATGACAAAGATCCCGCCATAGCCCCGCTCCCGGTCCTTCTCTCGCTCTTCCTCCCTCTCCTTCTCCCGCTCTCTCTGTTGCTGCTCCTCCCGCTCGTCCTGCTGCTCGTCCTCCTTCCGCTGCTTCTCCTGCTTTTCCCCCCGTTCCTCCTCCCCCTCCTCCCGCTTCTCTTCCCGCACCGTAGCCCCGCTCCCGCGCCTTCTCCCATGCCTCCTCTCGCTCCTTCTCCCGCTCCTCCCACTCCTCCTCCTCCTCCTCCTCCTCCTCCTCCCGCTCCTCCTCCGCCAAACAACGTGGCAAAGATCCCTCCATAGCCCAGCCGCCGCTCGTTCTCCTGCTGCTCCTCCCTCTCCTCTTCCTCCTCCTCCTCCTCCTCCTCCTTCTCCCGCTCTCCCCCCCGCTACTTCTTCTCCCGCTGCTTCCCCTGCTCTTTCCCCCGTTCCTCCTGCCGCTCCTTCTCCCGCTCGTCCTCGTGCTCCTCCCGCTTCTCCTCCCCCTCCTCCGCCTCCCGCGCGTTCGTTAACCCCCTCCCCGCTCCCCCTTCTGCTCCCCCTCCTGCTCCCCCTCCCGCTCCTTCTACTGCCCCTCCTCCCGCGCCTCCTCCGCCCCTTCTCGTTTCTCCTCGTGCTCCTCCCGCTCCTAACCCCCTTCCCGTTTCCCTTGCCGCTCCTCCTTCTCCAACTCCTCCGCCCCTTCGCACATCCCCTCCCGCTCCTCCTCCCACTCCTCCTTTTCCCGCTCCTTTTCCCATCCCTCCTCCCGCTCCTCCCGCTCCTCCTCCCGCTCGTCCTCCGCCAAACAACGTGACAAAGATCCCGCCATAGCCATCTCCTATGAAAAAAA